CCGGCTCTTGCGAGCGGAAACGACAACGCGCCATCAGGAGCGGCAAGACTGGAGAAATTATTATGCGCAATATTGCCGAGGGAGGTTGGGACAGAATAGAGTCTCCTGTTCCGCAGGGGTCCGACTTGCGGGGCCACATGACAGAGAATGGTAGAGATCCGGGCAACAACGACACTAGGCCCGCTGGCCCTCCCCCTCCTGCTGCGGCGATACCCCAGCAGCGCAAAGACAAGGAGGTCATGTGCTTCACAACGCGCCCAGTCGAAACGTTCGAAGTCCTCAACGACTTGGTGGTCGATCGCGGGCCAAGTCCCTACGTCAGCCTACTGGAGGTCTTTGGTGCGTGGTGCGCATGCGCCTGCTTTGCCCCGCGATACACGTAGCTCACCTTGCCTGCCCCTCGCAGGCAATGAGCATCACATGACCACCGCACAAGCAGACGGGTTGTGCATCTCCACGCCCACCGGCTCGACGGCGTACTCTGTGAGTAGGCGCCTGGGGCGCATCCCTCCTCGATGATGCTGATCCATCGCTGCCTTGCAGCTTTCCGCTGGAGGATCGTTGGTGCACCCAGAAATCCCTTCGATATTGATCACGCCAATCTGCCCTCACACGCTCTCATTTCGGCCCATGCTGCTCCCAGATAGCATGGAGCTGCGCATCGCGGTGCCATACAATTCGCGCAGCACAGCTTGGGCAAGCTTTGATGGCAGAGGTCGAGTCGAGCTTAAACGTGAGTCGTGGAGCGCCTGCTGGCATGCGTAGGCCGCTGCTGACTTGGCGTGCGAACCACGTAGAGGGTGATCACATCAAAGTCACCGCTTCGCGGTATCCATTCCCAACGGTCTGCGCCGAGAACCAATCCATCGACTGGTTCAATTCCATTTCTCGTACGCTCAAGTGGAACGAGAGGCAAAGACAAAAGTCGTTTGTGGTGGTGGAAGAGGGCGCTGAGAAGAGCTCGTCATCAGAGCCGAAAGAAGGTCAGCGAAGCGCAAAGAGCCAATCTAGTATGCAAGGAGCGGGACACGAGACAGATGACAATGAAGACGATGCAGAAGCAGAAGCCGAGACCGAGGCATTCGACATTGACGATACCGATACAGCTGCGCCGACGCGAACAGCTAGCCCTGACCCGGATCCTCCCCGGTCAGCGGCATCGCTGAATCAATTTGTAAGGCGCAACTCTGTGCGCTCGAGGACGAGCAGCGGTCATCACCACCATCATCACCCCAACGGCCGCACAATCAGATCAGCGCCCACAAGCAATCGAGCTTCATCCGAGCATCTGAACAGATCTGGCATGGCTCCACTAACACGCGGAGACAAGCAAACGACGAGCGAATCCTCTCCTTCCGATACCAGCAGCAGTCCCTCCGCACCCCACCAGGCCGGCCTTGAGAAATTCGAGCGCGATCAGAAATTGCTCAGCAGTCCGGATCGCTTCGGCTTAGCGGGACCGCCCATGCCTCCGCGCAGCATCAGCGAGCGTCACTTGGCCAGCGCCGACTTTAGGCTGGACGACCCTTCGCCACGTCCGAGCGAAGCACCACTGTCCCTATCTTCTCAAGATTCCACTGGACTTCCTCGGCAAGCTGCAGAACTGCAGGCACAGACTCGCAGGTTGAGCGGCGAAGCGCAAGCACAGACGCGAGGTCAAAGCAGCGAAGGAGCAAATACGGCATCGCATGCCGGCACGGAGACGACATCATCCATTGCTGCCCGGCGCTCGTCCTCGCAGCGCAAACAATCTCGCCGCCAGAAAAAGGTGGCGTCAGTCGATCCCAACGGACGTAGATCGAGCGGTGCGGGTGCCGCTCTGATCGTGTATGGACAAGACGAGTCTGACTCGGGTGATCTGACCGAATGAGGCGATGCAGCCAATCTCATGTCCATGCTCTGCGTCATCTTGTGGTCGTCGGTGGCGGTGTTATTGCGAGAGCGTCCAAGGCGAGCACGCTTCGGCACGGGTGCTGCCGTATTGTACAGACGTAAAGTTGACTTGTCGCGACTCATCCTTGCCCGCCTGCCTCGCGCCCGGCGAGCACGCTTCGGCACGGGTGCTGCCGTATTGTACAGACGTAAAGTTGACTTGTCGCGACTCATCCTTGCCCGCCTGCTTCGCACCCTGCGCGCCCTGCGCGCCCTAAAGTCCAAAGTCTCGTCCATCCTCTGGCGCGTCGCTGCTGATCTTCTTGCCGCCGCCAGACTTGCCTTTGCGACTCCTTCCCCACGCGACGCGCACTTCTTTGCCATCAATCAAGACCTTGACTGCGCAGCGCATAGCTGCGCTCTCGGCATCTTCTCGCCTTTTAAAATTGACAAAGGCGCACTTTGACGTGGGGACGTGGGTGATGGACTTGATGCTTTCGGGCGCTAGGTTGGGCACCGTCGTCACAAAGTACGTCCGCAAAGAGTCCTCGGTAGCGGTGGGTGGCAATGACGATAGGAAAAGCGAAGTCTGCGGGGGGGGGGGCAAGCAAGAGATGAGCTTCGCTACCGCGCACCTCTACGTCGTCGTCGTCCTCTCACAATAGTCTGGTCTTCTGGTGCTGTGAGGCCCGCTTCGTCGGCTTGCGTGCGCAAAATCTTTTTGGCGACCGGGTCATTGCGCCCGAGGTATCTGTGGACGAATGTGTCAGACGTGAAGGCTTCCGACATGGCGCATCCGTGTACTGCTCACCGATCTTTGATGTTTTGCTTGCTCAACTCGTTATCCACCGGCAGCTCGTGACGAAATGGACAGGCATCACCTCGCGTGCAGTTGCCCTTGGCGTAAAAGCTGCACAAGTGCGATCGGTTCCTCCTGTACGGATCTGACGAGGTCCCACCAGCACTGCCGCTTGGCGCGGCCCCCATTGGATTTCCTCGCTGACGAGAAAGTTGCTTGAGCAAGTCTGAGCCGGCACGAGAAGCTGGGCCGGAAGAGGGCAACAAGGACTGATCGCCACCCTGTTCAGCCTGATGGATGCGCGGTCGACTCGACTTTCAGCACGACTTAGCGGCACCACACCTTGGGAGAGCCAGCGACAAACTCACCGCCTGTGCCTCTAATCGCTGGACATAATACAGCTTGTTCTTCTCCCCGCTCGGCATCTGATTCTGTAAGCCCATGGCAGTGTCTCTGACCTGAACCGGCAAGCCATACTGCAAGTCAAGCACACACGTCTGGCATACATTCTTGATCTTGGCGCACGTCGTGCACAGTTCCGTCTTTTTGAAGCGCATCCCAGAGCCAGGGTTCCATCGAAACACTGTGAATGGTCGATCGCAGATCTGTGGGTCGCGCGCATGGCGTTCGTTAGGTGGGCACGCGGCAGCACGCGGCAACCCGCGAGCGAGCAGACCCACTCACCTTGCATTCCTTTCCCATTGGCTGCTTGCTCATCCTCACGTACGGATTGGGGCCTAGGCACGTTTCGCAGAGGATGGGCGTCTCCGCCTCTTCGGCTTGATTGCTCATGCTGTGCGCCGTGTGGTGACGAGGAAGTGCGGAGATGCAAAAAGGCGCTGTGATGTGCGGGCGTGCTGCCGTACTCGCGACGCCCGTGAATGTGATGGTTGCAACAAGAACACTGGATTGATTCGTTCAGCCTCGGTCGATCGGTCCAAATCCGCGACGCGATGCGCGAGAGCTCCCCTCTCGAATTTTGGTCACGTGATCTTTGCGTGGGTGTCACTCAAGACTTGGACGTTCGACGCGGCCCGAATCACAATCAAAAGGGGGTTACAATCACGCTCTCACCGCACGCCATTCGATGCCGAGTGCGCCGCGGGGAACATTGAAAAGGTGCGCAGGGCGATGCGATTCCAGGTCAAAACTGCAGAGACGTACGTGTACACATGGTTCGTTGTCGAGCGCTACGGAAAGGCCGTCCGGTGATCGAGCCCGCGCGTCTAGTGAGAGCGACGTTGCAGGACCAGCCTGCTTTCGAGGACGTACTTATCCTTTGCACTATCCAACCTCTCCTTGATCCATTTGCGCGTTTCGGCGAGGGCCTGCTCGATGAACGCGAGATGGGCGTCGCTTGCAAAGAGCTCTGCAGTGACGTCGACTCGATGCTCAAAGGCAGCGCCACACAGATCGCGCGCAAGTCGTCCGTCCAAAAATCGAGCTTGGGCTTCTTTGTACGCCCCTTCATCCGCACATACGTGCAATTCTCCATCCAACGGTCCACTCCCGCTGCAATACTCCACCCATCGTTCGCCTGCAAGCTCAAAGCACGCCACAATCGCTTGACCTATCGATGACTGCAAGCTCTCCATGCAAGGCTCGGCATGCAAACCGCTTGGACACTGTCGAAGCGCTGCGCCCAAGCGCTGCCGAGCCGTGTCAAATATCCAGCGTCTACTACTATCCAACGAAGCGAGAACGTTGAGCATCTTTGTCGTCTTTTCAATCGCCCATGTCGGTGTGAGAGCGGTAAAAGTAGGCGACAAAGGTTGGTGACTCGTGGACGGAGAGCCAGAAGCGTCGATGGATCGGGTGGGGCGATGAGCAGCACGTTGCGCTGCATTGGTCGAGCTTTGCTCGCTCATGCAGCTATCGGAAAGTGGCGACGAGTGCTTCTTCGCCCGTTTGTTGTCATGCGACTGCGAGCGACTGTGCACGACGGGTCGAAGCGACGTCGCGTCGCTAGACACTCTTGGTCGCTTGCGAGCAGCACGGTCAGCACCGCTGCTCGAGCTCACGTTGGGCTTTGCGGGCAGTGCGTGCTGAGCCAAGCGCGGAGAGCCTGGCTGACCGTGATGCAGATGGCTTCGGCCCAGCACTAGTGATGCGGCCTGCATTGTAGCAGAGTCTCGCTGCGCATCGCGATGTTGATGCTGTGGAGGCGGCGGTGGCCTCCTGGGCAGACTCGGATGAGCGTTGCGGCCAAGCATGGCAAGGCCAACGTTGCTGCTGCTTGCACCCGAGGTATCGGAGCACATCCAAGGAGCTCTCGAAGGAATTGACGCGTTCGCTACAGCGTGCATGACCGTTGGGTTAGGGATCTCCGTGTAGGCCTGTTGCTCGTTGTCGTCCGGTACGTTTTGCTCGGATCGTTGCTTGACTTTAATGGCGCGGCCACACAATATGAGACGTTGTGGTGGCGCGAAATCATTCGCAAGAGCGTCGTTCATAAGCGGAAATGGGTGGGCTGGCTGCCCCAAGCATGTTCCCAACCGACCGAAAGCCACTTCATGGCGCGCGACCCTGCTGAAAGATGTCTTGCTCTCGCCGGGAGGCACACGATATGAGCGAGCAGCGAGCTGCATGAACCTTTTGATTGCAGGACGACGGACGGCAGCTGCCCCTCTCCTCACGAGGCACGGCATCTTCGGCATCATTCGCAGCGCGGAGTTATCTCGCCTGCGTACCCATACCCATACCTACACTGTACCGTACCCGTAAGCGGGAGTTTGAACCAGACCAACGCTTTCTCTCGCGCCGCGCCGCGCCGCGCCGCGCCACTCGCACTCACGACTCAAAACGCACCAAATGTCCCTCCGCATTGAGGTCCCACGTTTAGAGAAGCGCAGACAGCAGGGTCCCGTGAATCGCCTCGCCATGCATCGAGTTTGCAGGGGCACTAGCAAAGCGC